TAAAAAACATGCCAAAAACCAGCAGGAATAAAGCTCAGCATATTTTGGATAAAATGTCCTCCTCAAAAAACATATCTGCATGGACTGAACGTGGGGAGTTTGTGTTTAACGGTAATGTTATTAAAGGGTCTCATGTATGATTTAATAAGAGGAGTGACTGCTTCTCACAACGTGTCTGACAGCCAGAGACCTACAGGTTGGGATGAATATCTGCAATCGTTGGCTATATTGAATATACCTTTATCAGTTGTACCAAATCAACAGGTCACAAGAAAAATTGACGAGATTAAGAGAAAGACTTCTGGAGAATCTTCTCCCCTTATTACTGGACCGACATCTACACCTCTTGTTCCCAGAGGACATCAATTAGCAAACAATGAAACAAGTCCTTTTGTATCTCCTGAAATGTGATTGAGCGATTGGATAACTTTTTAATTGTATATCGTTATCGGTTTTTTATTTATATTCAATACATAGAGACATAACTTTATCTTAAATGTAAAGGGGATATTAGCTCCACTACGCGGCCGCCTTGTGTGTACTCCATTCTTTTAACTAGTCCCTCATTGCGTCCTCCAGCCATTGCGTCGTCCATATGACCTGCTGTATCCATGCAAGAATAGTCCGGATCCAAACTGTGTCTGCAGAGCGTCCTTTCCATAGTTCAAAAGGCACTCTATTATACCCCTGTAAGGATATGTGTTTGATGATTGCGTTATGAGTTGGTCCCCCAATGATATGTCGACCTGTGAAAATGTTGTACATCCAGGGTAGTTGATAAAGCCCACTTCGTCTGCTTGATCCAGGTTTCCGCCGTTAGCTTTGGTGATTTTTGCGCGCGTGTACAGAAACGTATTGTTTAGATCCAGGTAGTCCTCTGTACTAGCTGGAATGAAAAATTCAAGGGGTGCAGAGTCTGATACCGCTGCTAGAGGAGGGAATTCGACATAGACGCATTTCTCAATACTTGTTTGTGTTAACGGCACCATAAACTGGTCTAGCTCCGACTTAACACACTCTCGTGACAGGCTACGTACCAACGACACTCTCGTTAGAAAATGTCTCTTGTCTTCTGACGTTTTGTCGACTTGCTTCTCCTTGCCTGTTTATTTTTTCTAGTCTTAGTGGGGTCTTATTATTTGTTGTTCGGCTACACCTCTTTGGTGGGGAACTTCCTCTTTTCCCAGGAGGTCGTTTTATTGGTCGGGGGGCCACGGCAGGATGTGGCGCCAAAAACGGCATCTGTGTCAACACTGTGTTTGTTCGCGGCTGAGATCTAAATGTTGCAATTCCCTCGTGAGTTTTAAAAGCCGCTCCGGGGATAAACCCCAACATTTGTGTTGTTTTCCTTGAAACGTTAATTCTACGTCTCTCGTTGGTAAAATGCTTACTCTGTTGGTAATGTTGTTGTAATCAAGCTCAATGTGACCCATGTTTTTTTCAGATAAACAGCTGTTTAGTTCGGTTATTATCTGTGACATTGTTGTATAGAACCCCTGTGTTGCTGATAGAACTGCCCTCTTGTTGGATTTTTTATGAAACACGACAAATTTTGAGTCTTCTGATGAAAACGATTTCCATGTTTTTGGATATTGTATTTCTACCAAACCCACCTCGTATGCTGATTTAAAGTGTAAAGGCTTGAATAGTTTTGTTCTAAAGTTTGCTATTGTATTGCTCGGGTAAAATAATGCAGATGAGTTGTTGGGCAGGGTGACGAAAAAATCCTCTATCCATTTATACGTGTGTTTGTAATCTGCTAAGGTAGCTGAATGACCTGTTTTTCCAAAATCCACCTGTTAAATTTATCTGGCCATCCGACCCATTTGACTAACACCATGTCCCGGCCTTGTCTTTTCTTTCTAGATAAAATCTTTTCTATTTTAAATGTTTTGTTTTTATCTATAATAACTTTTTGCATCTCTTGCTCATAAAATGTCCCCTGTAATATTTCGCCGTCATAGTCTTTTAACCTGTAAACAGGAGGGGCCCTTGACACGCATTCCTTTACAGTGAAATATTCATCAGTATAATTTTGCTCATAACCTTTTTTAAAAGGTAGTTTTGAAATTCTTACAGTATCGCCCACCTCATATTTAAAATGAATTACTCTTTTATCTTTTGTTTTATACAAGTTGTTAAATGATATCTTCAGTGTTTTTTGTTACATCACTTTCGTGCCGTCTTGTGTAGAGTATAGGCATCTTGCATCATGAGCCAGTTTTCTACGTCTGAATCTGCGTACCGAACTCCAGTAGTGTCAAATATGACCTTTTTAAGTTTTTGCTTGCCTCCGTAACCCCCTACGTTTTCTGTCTCATCGTGTATATTTCTCATCTCATCCTCCATGATCTTTGTTACAAAGAGTAAAATGTAAATGCTCCGTACTTGTATAGCGCCTTTCTAGTCTTTTCGACCACTCAAAGCGCTTTTACACTACATCTGCATTCACCAGTCAAACACATTCATACACTGAGCCTAATTGTTCAAACAGAAACTAACATTCACACTCTGCCGGAAAAGCCGCCAGGGGCAATTCGGGGTTCAGTATCCTGCCAACCCGCTCTACCTCCTGAGCTACAGCCGCCCCAGAGTGACATTTCAACATCTGTGTTCAAGTATTTTATTTCCAACGACACGCAACATATCTGTCAGCAATGATTACAAGTATACACTTTTCAGAAAATAAGTACAAGCACCTATCTCTCTTTGTCTCTCGCTGGGAGAAATGGGAAGGGTGAGATATCACCCCTCAGACAGGCTGACTCCAGGCTCTAAATACCCCAGAGGAGGGACTGAGTGCTGTTTGGGCAGTCTTGACCATAAAACCTTCCACCTCCGGTGAAGATGAGGTAACAGACTCTATGCATGACGGTTAAAATGACCATATTAACCTTGTCCGGAGACTAACTTCATTCTGAACCATGGTGTCAGGACCATTTTGGACAGAGCCCCCCCCCCCCCCAAACACACAGACACTCCCCAGGATGAGTTATAGGACAGGGTAACCACGGTAATGGTGTTCCCCCTTTCAAATTACCGCAGAATTTGGCCGATGTGCCAAATTGAAGCCAGACGCCAGAGAAGGAACGGCCCCAAATTCCTTTGTGGACAAAGAAATGTTATCTCCTCATAAACGTACCTTTTTACTCTGTTTAGCTAAATAATCCTTAACAGTTATTTAGTAGTTCTTCAGTTTTGAACAAGTTATTATCATGTTCTTGTTAGTAACTATGTTGAAAAGAAGAAACCACAAAGAAAGTTAATTTAAAGTGCTTCATCTGTTGTGGTGGCAGCCCGGCTGACGGTGAGCGTCCTGGTTTTTTCTCCTTTTTATCAGTTATTCTGCTTTTTCCTTGGTTTTCTGTTCCCTGCCTGCCTCCCTGTGTTTTCTCCTGTGTGCTCTCTCTCTCTCTCTCTCTGTCTCTCTCTCTCTCTCTCTCTCTCCCTCTGCTCCTGAGCCCAGCCAACTACCTGCACCTGCATCCCATCAGCCACCTCGTCAGCCTGCCACACCTGCCAGTAATCACCTCATGACTGCCTGTATTTCAACGCCGGTTCTCCACACCATCCTCGCTTGATCGTTGTTGCTCCATACCCGGTGCCACCTCCAAGTTCAGGATCTCATGTTTGTAGTTTTTTCCCCCTGTGCCTTGTCGTTCATCCCTAACCCTGTCTCTCTGTCTGTTTCCCTCCCAGGTACACTCACCCTCGTCCTCCGTTCAGTCGGCTGGGCTCATCCACCGGCCCTCTCCTCCTCGGACTTCCCCCACAGCGTCCTCCCTGTTCTCCCACCGCTCCTCGCTTCCTCGGCCCCAGTGTTCCCCGGCTCCCTGGCCCCCAGTCTTCCTGGTTCCCCGTGCCTGTGTTTCCCTGACATCCACCTCTCCCTCCACTCCACTCCCTCTCCCCCTTTATCCCTCAATAAACCTCCTTCCCTCAGAGTGCTGCGTTTGGGTCCTCTCTGTCCCCACACCACACCACCCTGTAACATCATCAGCGCTTACATACCTGCATGTAATTCACATTTAACTAATGCTTTGTTCCAAACACTTATTGTCATGTGTTTAATAACCAATTTCCCCAGCTCCTGAGCCAAGGATTGAGTTGACTAGAAGTTAAATAGTCAGAGGATTCCCAGGTCCTCTCATGGAACCAGTGCCCCCCCCCAGAGGACAGAATAAATATTACATGTCATTGTTCTTTAATGCCTCTCGTTGTGCTTAATTTATATTACTGTGTTTTATTGTCTGTAATCTGATGCTATGTTCTTATAACTTATAAATTTTCTAAGTAAGAATGTTTAACAATCAGTATTGTATTCTCCTGGAAGTTTAGTTAAGGTGCTTTTTCATCTGCTGTGATCCCTATGAAATTTTTAACAATAACTTTTCCTCTTATCAAATGCTTAAAACTCAGAACTGTATAACAGTTTAGGACATTTAAGAGTTGATTGTGGAAAGGTATTTGATTAAAATACACGCAAATAGACTTTAAGACCATATTAAAAGTTAAGCCAGAATCTCAGAGGAGACCTGAAAGCCCTCCTCCTTTAGCCTAGCCAAATTTAACTTAGTTATGATCATATAACTTGCGTTCATTAGTTCTCTTACTCCCTTAGAATCAAATTCTTTCCCACAATAGACCAACTAAATTCACATTGAACTCAGTTATTCTCATCGATTGCATCCTGTTTGTTTAGGCATTGTTTTATGTCTTTGATATATTTAACCTTTGTATTCACTTTAGTTAGCTAATAAATCTCACCTAATCACAGGAACGGTGTGTGTGTACTGTTTAACTTCAGAGGATTCACCTTTTGATATGAGACTGTCTGACTGATTAAACTGATTTAAAATTATCAAGCAATTACGAACTAACTGATCACTAGCAAAGAATTGTGCAATAATTAAGCCATCAGGCGTCCTGAAGGCCTTCAGCAAAGGGAAATTCAGGTGGTGCCCCAAAACGGGTGCTTATGATAACAATATTTACAAATGTTATTATTCATAACTTTATTAACCAAGAGTAGATACGCTCTACTGCTACACATGAATCATAAGAAATTGTCAATCCATCAATATTTCCTGGACTGATATTACGGACTCATCAATATTTTCTCACTTAAAGAGTTAAAGGTAATAATAATTTGCTTGAGAACGATGGGATTATTCTACATGTTATGCACAGCAGCTACAGTGAAGTCATTGGCAGTGAAAGTCTTTATTCTCAGGCTCCTCCAACAACACAGATATGTATAATAAATATAATAATAATCCTTATTTGTAGAGCACTTTTCAAAAACAAGTTACAAAGTGCTTTAACAAGTGTAAAGAATAATACAAGATAAGAGCATGAAAAATTACTATAAAATTAGTAAAATACAATAAAATAAAAGGGATAAAATATAAGAAAACTAACCCATTTATAAAACACTTATCATCCCGTATACTGAAATCTAATTAGAATTAAAGACTCACAGACACAAAGTAGTGCAGCAGCAAACAGCTCTTAAACAGTAGTTAAAATATGTATATATACTGTTATACTGCTATAGTAAATATATCTATCCTAAGATGTAAACAGGTGCCATCAGTTTGTTTGGCAGGAGAGAAGTGTAAAGTGTATCAGTAATTTAAGGTGCCAGTAAAGTGACAGTTCAGCAGTCTTATGGTCTGAGGGATGAAGCTGAGCCTGGTGCTGCAGGACCAGATGCTGCAGTACCAGCAGCAGGGAGAACAGTTTGTGGCTGGGGTGGTCGGGTCTCTGGTTAGTCTGATGGACTTCTTCCTGGGGTGTAGATGTCCTCCATGGATGCAGCTCTGTCCTGCTGATGTGCTGAGCAGTTTTCTCCTCCCTCTGTAGAGCCTAACCGTGGAGGGCGTAGCAGCTGCCTGACCAGGAGGTGATGCAGCCGATCAGGATGCTCTCAGAGGTGCACCTGTAGAAGGTGCAGAGTGTTGAGGAGTCCATGTTGATCCTCCTCAGCCAGCAGAGGAAGAAGAAGAGCTGTTGTCTCGCTGTCCTTGTGATGCCGTTGGTGAGGGTCAGGTCAGGTCTTCGCTAATGTGGACCCAGAGGAACCTGAAGCTGAAGACACTCTCCTTTTTAGTCATTCTGTGTCCTTATGATGTCGATATAGAGGTTGTTGTCCTGGCTCAAAGATGTCGGGGCTCTGACCTCCTCTCTGTGGTCTGTCTCATCATTTATTCTCACAAATGTGTTCCTCTGGTCCAGGTGGGGGGCTAGGGTGAAGGCGTCGGCAGCTGACCTGTTTGTTCTGTATGCAAATTGGGTCCAGTGAGTCAGGGAGGGGGGTCATGATGAGTGCTACTAGGCAGCAGTCGTTCAGGCAGAGGGCTTTAGTCTCTTGGGGAGGGGGACTGGTGGTCTTTTTTAAACATGTAGACTACAGACTGGAGCAGTTGAACATTATTTTGGCTGTGACTGATGACATTTCATGAAAATACCTGATTTATCCTCTTACACAAACAACTGCTAACCCAGTTTCAACAGTGAGGAGGCCTCAGGCATGGCTGATGTTTGTCCTCAACCTCTAAAAGCATCTCTCCAGGTCAAAGTGAACATGTCTGCTGAAGGTGTCATCACAGTGCTGTCCACAGCGCAGGCATACTGAGTCTGCAGATAGTCTTTGTCAAACTTCTGTCCAGCAGACCGATCCCCCAGACAGGCACTCAGATGGAGGGTGGCTTGAAACCTGGAGGACAGCAGCACCAGCGAGGCGGCCAAACAGACGACAGAGAACGGGACGCTTTGTAAAGACGTCCTCTCTGCTGGGAGGATGAACGGGATGACGATGCGGTTTCTCTCAGGTTCACCGTATTTCTTTGTGAGAGACTCGTATCTCTCCCAGACACCGTCCTCTGGGGGTTTGAGAGGACTGACAGTGATGTTGGGAATCAGTTGATCTCCAGCTGTCTTCATGGAGTTCCAGTAGTTTGGCAGTTTCACAGGCCGATGCTCTCCATCAGGAATCAGACAGCCGTCATCTTTGTCACATTTAAAAACTCTGTGCTGCGGCCTGATGCGTCCTGTAGCGACACCATATACCACATCAGCACTGCTGGTGCAGTTCCAGGGAGAATACAGGAGCACGTCTGTGATGGAGGGCAGAGGCAGGAGGCAGCTGGCTGGGATCATGAAGTCTCCGATCGCTCCGTGGGCCACAAAGGTGATGTCTACACTGTTGCTGTGGTTCTTCTTCTCTTCCACGTCGATGCGTTCTTTCAGGAAATTAAACATGTCCACGAGTTGGGAGAAGTCTCGGGACTCTGAACCGTCTCTCAGCCACTGCAGGACGCTTTGGTTCCTGCACTTCTTTATCAGTTCTTCCTTTTGGTCCAAGTTCCTACAGGTGTTCCCAAGAGAGCGTTTAACTCTGAGTAACCACAGCGTCCTTCTGTAAAAAAAGAATGGCAGCAACTTGAAGTTATTTTCAAACAGTGAATCTTCCTGTCTAGCACATCTCTACACTCTGTGTCAGAACAGACAGGACATCTGCAGTTATTTGGGAGTTCAGTTAAAGCTTTCAGCCTTCAGGTCTGGAAATAGGAATTGTACAGAATGGCCAGGTCCAAACTAAAGAGAGGCAAAAGGAGCCTATGGGAGGAAGATTGAGGGACACCTCAGCATGAGGGAGCCCTGTGTGTCTAACACTGTATCCAGCATCTCCCCAACTGGCAGCAGGCATCCAACAACTAGCACCAGTAGTGACCTGCTTGCTGAGGAGCTCAATCACAACTTTGCCCATTTTAAGCTTTTAGGCCTCGTCCGACCGCAGTAGTTAGCACTGTCACCTAACAGCAAGAACGTCGTGGGTGCGAACCTTTATGTATTTATTTATTTATTTTTAACCCTGTCCTGCCCAGCAGCCTGGTATAGAGTATAATGACCTGGATACCATATTGTGCCAGACAGATTTTACTTTAACAAGAGAGTATTAAAATACTCCTTTGTCTGTTTTATTATTTATTTAATTATGTATTGATTTGTCACCGGGCCGGACAGGGGGGCAGACACGGGGATGGGGGGGCACAAAAAGACAGCACAGAGAAAGGACAAGACCTGTAAGAGAAGGGGGATGGAGGATGGAGGGTGGGGACAACAGGGAAAAGCTGTGGGTAACACCAATTGCAGAAAGCAACGAAACCTGCAACAGAACAGAGAGGGGGGAGGAGGAGAAAAACAACAACAAACAAACAATAAAAATAATAATAGTAAAAGACAACCAGCCGAACAGCAGCAATAAACAGCTGACATATTAAGACAACTAAGAGAAAAATGAAAACAACAAACAGTCACACACACTAAATAAGCAACACAGCACAGCCACGAGAGCTGGAATAATAATTAATTTAAATAAGTAACTGAAAGAAAAGCATCAGGAATAATTCTACCAGGGACAACCTAAGTTTGTTTGTGTCTGTGTGTGAGACTGTGTGTGTTTGTATGTGTGTGTGTATCCAACGAAGGTTAAAATCAAGGGCAACTGGACTTGGTTGAGTTCACCAGGTGCACATTTTAGACAGAGAAGATGGATGGTTTGAAAGAGGTGTCAAGGAAGCATCTACACCAGGGTGGAGAAGCCGTCATTGAACAGGGGAGGGGGTCTACGCCACCACTTATCCCCCACTTACAATGCTGTCCTTTCATCACTTCCCAGGAAACTCAACAAACGTAACCTATTGGCCTCAGGTGAAGATACCAACGATGGTCGTTCAGTCTTGGCCTCAGGTGAAGATACCAACGATGGTCGTTCAGTCTTGGCCTCAGGTGAAGATACCAACGATGGTCGTTCAGTCTCGGCCTCAGGTGAAGATACCAACGATGGTCGTTCAGTCTTGGCCACAGGTAGTCTTAACGACTGTAACGACTGTCGTCACAGCAACAAGGAACACTAACGAACCAGCGGTATCGATGACCCGGGCCAACGACCCCACTGAGGTTAAATAGCTGAGTTTCCCTGCCAGTCAGTCAGAACTGAAGAAGTCCTTTGGATGAGGGACGAAACGTCTTCCAGTATCTTCAACCAAGTCCAGTTGCCCTTGATTTTAACCTTCGTTGGAGAACTTTGACCTGGATGACTGAGAATCTTCATAGACATGTGTGTGTGTACATGTGTGTGCGTATAAGCCTGTTAAAGAATGTAGTTGTTAGTGAGAGTGGGACGCCACGACTGTAACAGGCAGGCAAGAACCCCAGGAGCCAATAGGGGTGGGAGAAGAAAAAAAAAAAAAAAAGACTCCCAGATGCACCATGATGCAAACGTGGAAGACCCCGACCTAAAAGTACAAAAAAATAAATAGTACAAATGACGGAATGTAAGAGGCATAACCCGTGGAAGAGCAGCGCCCGGACCGACCACGGCACGCACACAACATAGACCAGCGCTCCTCCCCACCCAGCACCGCAGTGCCGCGCAGCGAACAACCAAAACGCCCAAATGCCACACAATCATCAACACCAATGCACAAGTGACGAGTGTCGACTCATTTCCATTTCCGGCGCTTGTGTGTTGGTACCGTGTTGTGCTGCTCTCGCTAAATAACAGTTACATTTGTTTGATTACAGCGGCCAACTGTTCGCTAAACACTTCTTCTTACAGTAATTTTGCCTAAGCACTCACAGTTCTTTCCATCTTTTAGTGACTGCTGTTCAATCTCATAGTTGTTCTAAAGTTTTGGTAGCTGACGCTACAGTACTTTAGCTTAGCCGTTAGCAACTTTAGCTTAGCAGCTAGCGATGGCTTCTCCTTCTCCCTCTCTCTCTCCTACTTTCTCCTGCTCGGTGTGTCAGATGTTCAGTTACTCCTCTGCCTCCTTTAGCGGTAATGGTACGTGTAATAAGTGTAGTTTGTTTATAGACATGGAGGCGAGACTCAGTGATTTAGAAGTCCTGCTCCGCACCTTGGTAGATCAGTCTTTAGCTACTGTAGCTAGCCAGTCCCCGGTAGTCGGTGCTGAACGGCCTGAGTTAGCCTCTGGTAGCCGTCCTCCGGCATCCCCTGTGCAGCCAGGAAAGGGGGGGGGCTGGGTGACTGTCCGAAGGAGGAATAGTCGTAAGCATTCAAAGTCCACGGGGCATCATCAACCTGTTCACGTTTCTAACAGATTTTCCCCACTCAGCGACACACCCGCTGAGAAACCAACTCTGATCATTGGCAGCTCCATTTTGAGAAACGTGAAGTTAGCGAAGCCAGCGGCCATAGTTAAGTGCATCCCTGGGGCCAGAGCGGGCAACATTGAGTCTTATTTGAAACTGCTGGCTAAGGATAAACGTAAATACAGTAAGATTGTTATTCACGTCGGCGGTTATGACTCCCGGTTATTTCTAGAAATCTGGCCAAGTTTATTAGTGGACCAAATCCACGACAACCCAGAGTTGAGACCAGGAGGCAGAGTCGCAGTCTAACATACTTCTCTGCCCTCCTAATTCAGCAGTTACCCACCCAAAACCCTACGCAGAGTCGCAGTCTAAAACACTTCTCTGCTCCTCCATTTCAGGAGTTACTTAGTGAAAATCCTATAGTGACGGTGTCTGTCCCCCCGACCATCGAAATTATTTAAAAAGGTAAACAGAAGAGGAGCTGTGCATAAAAACCTCATAAAAATTAAAACCACAAGAGCAATAGTGCAAATGAATAGGAGAGTTAAATGTGGACTCTTAAACATCAGATCTCTCTCTTCTAAAGGTGTACTAGTAAATGAACTAATATCAGATTATGATATTGATTTATTTTGTCTTACTGAAACCTGGCTGGGTGATGGAGAATATGTTAGCCTAAATGAATCCACCCCTCCCAGTCATATTAATACTCACATTCCTCGAGGCACAGGCCGAGGAGGTGGAGTTGCAGCTATCTTCCACTCTAGCCTACTAATCAGCTCTAAACCTAAACTAAACTATAACTCATTTGAAAGCCTTGTTCTTAGTCTTTCACACCCAAGTTGGAAATCACTGCAACCAATTCTCTTCGTTATAGTGTACCGAGCACCTGGCCCATACTCTGAATTCTTATCTGAGTTTGCTGAGTTTTTGTCAACTTTAGTCCTTAAAACGGACAAAGTTATTATTGTAGGGGATTTTAATATTCATGTGGATGTTGAGAATGACAGCTTTAGTACTGCGTTTATCTCTTTGTTAGATTCCATCGGCTTCTCTCAGAGTGTTCATGAACCGACTCACTGTTTTAACCACACCCTCGACCTTGTTTTGGTGTATGGTATTGAAATTGAACATTTAGTGGTGTTCCCACAGAATCCCTCTTTATCCGACCACTGTTTGATAACTTTTGAGTTTGTATTGCTGAACTACTCTCCATTGGGCAAAAACTTCTATACAAGATGTCTGTCTGATAGTGCTGTAGCTAAATTTAAGGATGCGATTCCTTCAGCTCTAAATACATTATCTAGTCACAAAGTAACGGAGGACTCCTATGCTAATTTCAGTCCCTCCCAAATCGATCATCTTGTTGATAGTGCTGCAGGCTCGCTGTGAATGACACTGGACTCTGTAGCCCCTCTAAAAAAGAAAATACTAAAACAAAGACGGTTAGCTCCATGGTATAATACTGAAACTCGCAAATTAAAGCAAATATCACAGAAACTTGAGAGGAATTGGCGTTCCACCAAAGTGGAAAATTCTCGTTTAATTTGGCAAGATAGTCTTAAAACTTATAGGAAGGCCCTCCGTAATGCCAGAGCAGCGTACTACTCGTCATTAATAGAGGAAAATAGGAACAACCCCAGGTTTCTTTTCAGCACTGTAGCCAGGCTGACAGAGAGTCACAGCTCTATTGAGCCAAGTATTCCCATAGCTCTCAGTAGTTACGACTTCATGAGCTTCTTTAAAGATAAAATTCTAGCTATTAGAGACAAAATTCACCAAGACCTGCCCTCAATTGGCACCGACTTATCTCTAAACTCAGGAACCTTAGAAACAGCTGTAGAACCAGATACATGTTTAGACTGTTTTGCTTCCCTCAATCTTTACCAACTAACTTCAATAATTTCTTCATCTAAACCATCAACCTGCCTCTTAGACCCCATCCATATAGACCTATATCTAACCTTCCATTTCTCTCTAAGGTTCTGGAGAAAGCAGTTGCTAAACAGCTGTGTGACTTTCTACAGAGCAATAGTTTATTTGAGGATTTTCAGTCAGGATTTAGAGCTCATCATAACACAGAGACAGCACTGGTGAAAACGACCTCCTTATTGCATCAGATAAAGGACTTGTCTCTGTACTGGTTTTATTAGATCTTAGTGCTGCATTTGATACCATTGACCATCAGATCCTATTGCAGAGACTGGAACATTTCATTGGTGTGTTCATGAGTGCCAAACACTATGGAGGGACGGACCGCTGTGCGTTCACAGATGTCCATAGATGAACCATAGTGCGTTCAGGGTCTCCACAACATGCTCGGGCCTTTTGATGCCAACCCCCCTTGGGCTAAACACCCATTTATGGAAAATGTGGCAGCAGAGAGGCAATGCTCCTCAACTAACCGCGCGTCCCCTGACACATTTCCATGCAGAATGGCGACAACGCTGCACGCTGTCAAGCTGGATGGCCGCATATCACCAGTTTTCCAGGGAATCAGAGAAGCCACACTGTCCTCACAGGAGGAAGTCGACGTCCTGGCCGTTGAGATCCAACAACTCCTGCTCAAGCAGGCTGTCGCTGTTGTCTCTGCGCACAACATGCACAAGGGTCTCTACTCCACATACTTTTTGGTCCCCAAAAACACGGGAGGTTTCAGATCCGTGGAATGGTAAGTCAATGGGTTTTCAGTGCTGGTGCATTGAGAGGGAGACGGATCCGTCCACCTGTTTGGTGGGATCCATTCTTTCCTTCCTGCAAGGTCTGATGGAGAAGGGACGTATTCGACTGTCAAGGTGTACGCTGCAGCCATCTCTTCCTGTCACGAGGGGTTTAATGAAAGATCAGTCTTCGCCCATCCCCTTGTAAAGGGTTTTAAAGCGACTGATGTCATGTGTCTCAACACCACTCAGTGGGATCTACCACTTGTGTTGAAAGCTATAAGGTGTGCCTGTTATGAGTCCCTTTGGCAGTCCTCTCTGAAAATGCTATCTCTCAAGACAGCCTTGCTGCTAACTCTCACCTCTGCTAAGAGGATGAGTGAGCTGTGTGGCCTCTTGGTTCACCCCAGGTGTAGGCTGCTTCGTGGTGACCATGGTGCGGCTGTGTTACGACCGAACCCCTCCTTTGTTCCCCAGAACATTAGGAGCTCATTCAGGTCCAGGATAATACATCTGGCTGGTTTGCTTTGTGAGTGTATCTCCCAAGTCTATGTGCAGGCGGGAACAGAATCACCCTCAGAGATTCGTGCACACTCCATCCAGTGTAGTGGCAGTATCCGCGGCCTCTATCAGGGGGGTGAGTGTCAAAGAGATCTGCACAACAGCGTCATGGTCGTCACCATGCCATGTGTGTTTCTATCTCTTGGATGCGTCAAGCACCTTCTCAGTTTCTGTGCTCACAGGTGCAACCCAGAATCTGTGAGGAGGGACTGTGGTGTATACCAGTAGTAAAGGGGGAACATACACAGTCTTTGTCTGTCGTTCCAAGGGGAAGTCAAGACAACTCAGGCGTTGATGGGCAGGCATGACACCCACTGGACCGTCACTAAGGCAATGTGGTGGTTTGGGTGTGGCCGGCTTGTAGCCAACCGTCTTGGTGTGGTAGACTTTGGCCTGTTGCGGACAGTCATCGGGCTCCACCCACTGTACCCATAGAGTCCAGCAGAGGACGGACCTGTGTGAGATTGAACGAAGGTTACGATATGGTAACCTTAGTTCTTTAAGCACAGGCGAAGTCCTCTACCGATTGCTAGGACACTGCTATTTATATGGTACACACGTATCGGTAGCAACATCCTGTTGGCTGGCTACGTACAGTGGGCCAGTGCGTACGTGTGATTGGAGGAGATACCTATAGAGTCTGAAGAGGGCTCCGCCTGTGCTTATAGAACTAGTGTTACCATATCGTAACCTTTGTTTGTTTATTTTAACTCTGCGTTTAGCACCATCATCCCCAGCAGGACGGTGTCCAAACTGCGTGCTGAGTACTCTACATTTTATACACCAATGACTATACAGTAACCCACAGCACAAACACCTTTATTAAATTTACGACAAAACTGTGGTGGGTCAAATGCAAAACAACGGTGAGTCTGCCTACAGGGAATAAGTCCAGAAACTGACTGCATGGTGCCACATTAACAACTTGATACTCAACCTCTCCAAAGCAAAAGAACTGATAACTGACTTCAGGAGGAAAGGAGAGGAATATGCTTCTCTACATATCAAAGGAGACATACTCAATATCATGGTATCATGCTATGATCACCAACTAGAATTTGTGTAATGTTTTTGTGAGTAGTTGCACTTAAACTACTTAACTACGTTCAATGACAATAAAGCAATCTCATTCTCTGCCCCCACTGCTACACTGTTAGCAGCTACTGTGATACCCACTGGTGTTCCTCATTCTTTGTGTAGCATCATGGGGTTAGAGACCATTGATGTGTTAATTGACCCTTCGCTAAGCCACGCCCCGAATACACAGCTGGCCAGTCACAGTGCAGAATAGGACTCACTGTGACTCAGGTCCGACACTTTCATGGCTGCGCTCCATTGACTCTAAAGTAAAAAGAGTCTTTTCTAGTTTTCTAGCTTTTTTCTGCTGTATTTTTCTTCTGGTTCTGGTCAAACGCAGTTCCTGGGGCATCTTGTAATAGTTACAGTCGTTACCCAGAGAGGTTGAAAGGAGAAGTACGATTTATTCTCTTTCCAAAACCTAAAATAAATCCAGAAACATGTCGGCTGTGGATTGTTCCACAGCCGACATGATGTGTGATGTAAAGTTAGCTTCCTATTGAATGTAACGTTATAAAGCCCTACTGTTCTGTTTTGCAATGATTGTAATAATGAACAGAGGCCTACCCAGCTTAACAGGGACACTGTTGATCCTTAACATCGTTGTCTATTGTCTCAATTGTCTGGGATGCGGTGGTCCACTTGTACGGTGTGATAGGTAGCCTTTAGCTTCTAGCTTTCATTTTTTTTCCATGTACGTTTGAGTCAGTTTTAGTCAGTATGAGTCAGTTTGACAGCCTGACTACAACCTTCAAATATATAATGCAACTGCAAAACTGTCTGCTTCTTTCTGAGATCGCTTTTTCCAACACATTTGTCAATATTTCTTATGGGAGTGCAGCAATAGACAGCGGCAGCGCCGACAGTTTGTCGGACTTACCAACAGTAACTAAGGGGGCGGGGCTTAGCAAAGGGTCAATTGACAGGAGTAGGCGGGGTCAGTGGATGGCAGGTATTGGTTAAACAGGAAGGTATAAATGGTGGCATGGCCACTTCCTCTTCGTGCTGCTGACACCAAGCACCCACATCGCTGTGCATGCAATGTGCACGGATGCTTTAATGGTAAGAGTAAATGCGCTCACGTGGGGTCACTGATAATAGTGTTACAATCTGTTAATTTGGGTTGCCTGTGATCCCAGGCTCACTGTTAGTACGGACCTTTCCCTCCCCATGTGGACGAGCAGTTGCTTGCCAGGGTAGGCTTCCTGCAGGGTTGGACCTTCCTTTCGGAGCATCAGGGGTGTCCATTCGTTGTTAATCATGGGTAGGTGTTCATGTAGACTGGGTGAACGGCTAATCATTTTCATTTAGCCACATGTGAGTGCTAACATGGTGCGTGGTAACTGTGTGTTTGTAGGTTGTGCAGCCTTCCTCTTGCCTGCACAGTGGGGGAAAAGCTGCCTTGCCTCTTTCTAAACATGCTAGAAAACCTCCTTTTTATGTACATGATAAAAGTTCTGTTTGGCTCTTTTAATGTAAGCTTGAATGAAGGTGTGATTGGGAGTAAGCTAACGGTCTCTGTTAGCTCAGTTTTAGCAGACTGTTGTAAATATTAATATTTTGTTTATTTTTGTTTTCATTCTCCTTGAGGGAAATTTTATTTCTGTTTATTTGCTTTGGATTTAAATTACCAGTTTGGTTTCTGTTGAACTAACGGATTTTGTTTTTGTTTGACTTTATAGTCGCAGTTCTGTCTGTATGTTTTTAATAATACAATACAATTCGCAGTAGGGTTAAAGCCAGGCTCCTTAGCGAGAGCCGCAGACGATCCGCCTCGCCACATTTGGCTGATGTGAAAAGGGTTTTAAAATATCTTTCCTTGAAACATGGTGACCCCTGGAAAACCTGGGTTGAAGGAAAAAAGCTAGAGACTCACTGCATTTCTTTGAAACTTTTTTCCTCCTCTTTTGAAGCCTGCATGATTTCTCTCTCTGGTCTGTGATCAGATCAGAGACCGAAAGCAAAAGTTGACTGTTCTTCCTCCGACCTGAAGGTGAAAACAAAACATTTCTTATTAACAAGATTAGTGTTGCTATTAAAATGCACTCTTCACTGTAACTCTGAACCTGGTTTCATTGTTGTTGTTTTTGAGGTTGCAGGTTTAGTGGACTGGATTATAGTGGAACAGGTTTTGTTGCCCATGATGCAGCTGACCAGAATAAGAAACCCATGCATTAAGGAGCTTTTGTTGTTTAAATCTGAACCTGTTAGGCCTCCACTAAAGCCTAACAGCTGGGTTACAGGGAATACCGGCCAGATGTTTCAGATCTCTAAGTTTAAAGTAAAGAAGCGTTCAGAGAGTCAGTGAAAGACAGAAGAAGACAGGATCTCAGGACATGATGAGTGTCTGATCTTACCTGCTTTGGTGCTTCACAGGTGAATTTCTGAGAGCAAATACTAACATCTGATGATCGCACCTGTGTTTTTTATATGTGAGGAGGCGGCGTGCTGATGATCACACCTGTGTTTCTATTGGCTGATTAACAGTCAGATCTTAAAAGAGAAAGCGCCTACAACACAGTTCAACATGTGGTGATCCCTAGAAGGGAAACTCCGTGTTTAATGTTTGTGTTTGAGAACAGATGGTTTACAGTAAATAGTGTCCCAGGCAAGAAGTTTAATAGAAAGTAAAACTATATTTTTTTCCAAAAAGAAGCTCAAAGTTTACAGCCTGCAGCAGCTCTGACATTAGAAAATGTTTGTACAGTGTGTGGAACTCCTTCCTCCTGTTACATTAATTAAAACATTCCTATGAATATTATATTCCATTCCTGCCATATTCAGCCAATAGACCCCCACTAAACCACACTGCTCCTTTAAGCTGAATTATACTCAGTTTGCTAATGTTAGACCCCAGCCTCTGACCTTCGACTGACTCGTGGTAAAGGAATATATGTACAGCTGAATAATCAGAATCAGGTTTAATGTCAAAATGTAGAGACTTTGATGTAGAGCTGATGCTGTCTGAAGGCAAAGATTGATCTGATTTTTCTTCTGTTCACTCACTTTGCATTTTGTTAATTGATATATAAAAGCTATTAACATGTATATTTTTCTTAATTAACAGCATGTTTTCCACACCTGTCCAAAAGCTTTTGCACAGTACCCAATTTCAGTTAAAGAAAGCTTTATTGGCATCTCGCCGGCTGTCTCTCAGGTTGTGGCAGGCTGGCACATGGTTTGCTGAACAGCCAAATCTTTGTCAGTATATATCAGTATATCTTTGTCAATGTCAGTATATTTGGTGCATTGTGTTAAGAAGTGCAGCTCCGTCTCTACAGCCCCCAGACTGCAGTGCTGTTGTATAGTCATGTTTTAGGGCAGAATAGCATTGTAGTTTGTGTTGTGTTTCAGTGACTAATTTTGTTTGGTCTGATGGTTATTGTCCTGAGCCTCTGTGATGTGAGCTGGTGTTGAATCAGGAGTCTCAGGACGACTTGGTTCAGTGGGCTCCTTCCTAGATTCAGCTCTTGGCTTTTCAGAGCTGGATAGTGGAGTGAGTGGGAGTCGCTCATTTTTACATGTTGCCTGACTTTGAGCGCTCTTCTTTTGCATCTTAATAATTAGAGGCTATTGGCCTAATTCTGCCCTGCAGGCGTTATTGGATGTTTTCCTCTGGACCCGGAGGACACTCCTGCAGAACTCTGCATGCAGGACTTCGGTTGGCCACATATTTAAGGCTAAAGTTTTTTTTGTTAAATGTTGCTGTTGCTAATTGTGAAATTGTTGGTGGAATGCCTGGAATGTTTTTGAAAGATTAAAACTCTCTTGTTGGTGCCAGTAAATCCAAATCATCTGCGTAGAGTAAACACTTTATTTCAGTGTCCAGCTGTACGACTCCTGGAGCTGTAGAGGTCTGTAATGTTGTTGCCAATTCATTAATGTAAATGCTGAATAGCGTAGACTCAAACTGCTGCCCTGTCGCACCCCTCTCTCATTTGGTGGAAAAAGTCGGTCGTGTTATCTCCAAATTTGACTGCACGCTTACTGCTGGAGTACATAGATTAACATCACTCTGAATGAGTTTATATAAAAGTCCATTTGAGTCAAATGCCTTTTGGAAATCAACAAAACAAGCAAATATTCTACCTTTATTTTGGATTACATGTCTATGGATTAGGGTGTGCAGGGTGAAAATGTGGTCTGATATTTGATTATTTGGGAGAAATCCAATTTGGCTTTTACTTAAGGCGCTGCGTTCTTTCAGGTGGTCAGTTATTCTTGTGTTCAGTAAGCTGCAGAACACTTTCCCAAGGTTACTGCTGACACAGATGCCCCTGTGTTGTTTCGGTCAAATTTATCTTATATGGGGGTGGGAAGTCCTTCGATCCAGGAGCCAGGGAAGTGGCCTACATTTAGTACGAGATAAACAGCTTTATGGCCAATTTGAGGTCCAGACTTGGTGTCTTTCAGTTGGTTTTGTATATGTTTATTTTACTTTGCTCTTACTTCTTGAGGGGTTCAGTGTACTTGATGTGAATATCTTGGTTGTCTAGTTGCCAATGATTTTGGTTTGACTAGAGACGTTTTCTCTAGTTTATCTTTAGAATCAGTCCAATGATCTGTTTATACTTTGTTGTTTTTAGTGGTAGACAAATTTGATATTTGAGAGCTACATACATATATTGTTTAGGTGGTGTCAGCCAGGTTCATGCTTTCTTTATCGTCTGGGTAATTGGTGGATAGAAATGGGTTTAGGTTTCAAAGTGTGTAATGGAGCTTTGATAGTTTTCATAGCTGTCTTTACCCCATCCATAGGTGCGCTTGATTTTGTACATTTTCCCAGGCTTTGTGCAAATATTGTCTCTGTTCTGCATTGACAGACTTTGGATTTTATCGTGTACAGAGAGAGTTTCAGGGGCTTGACTGTGAAGGAAGGTTTAGTTTAGTCTCTCTCTCTCTCTAGAGATCTCTACATATAAATATATTGGGAAAATAAACAAATGTATAAATGTCATTTCTGGGAGACTGACCTGTGGGAAACAGCAGTCTGTGGTGTTAAAGTCAGACACTTTGTCAAATCTCCCTGAGCTCTGGCAGGTGTTCTGACTCTATAACAGCATCACACTGTTTCCTCCTTGGCTGGAAAGTCTCACGTGTCATCTGGCTGTGATGAAGTCACTGATATTAAAAGCAAAACATCTTGTACAACAAGTTGTAATCTGTTATAAAATTCCTGTAGCGCACCTGGCTTATTGTTCCTTAGCAGGTGTGTCAGACTGCTGCTGGCTGCTTCAGGGTTTAACACTTACAGCTCACCTGGACACTTTATTAGCCTGTACAATCCAACCCAGCAGCTCTGACACACATCTACATTCAGCCAGATTATAATGTGTCAGGAACACTGTCAGACAGCTGTGAGGTGAAGCCTTGTTTTAGCCTTTTCCCAAGGCAACAGTGGCTGAGGCTCATGGGTATTGTAGTTTTCTGACAGCCCATGTATGTAACTCTGAGGCTGTCCATATAAACATGAAATCATTTAATTAATCTGAAACTTGCAACAGAAGCAACATTTAAATTCCAGGTTTCTTTTTCAGATCTGATGTTGCAGAGTTACAGCATCTCACAAAGTGAGTCCACCTCTCACATTTCTGTCTTTTCATGTGACGACACTGAAAAAAAGACACTTTGCTACAATGTAAAGTAGTGAGCGTGTAGCTTGTATAACAGTGCAGCTTGTATAACAGTGTAGCTGGTATAAAAGTGTAAAGTAGTGAGCGTGCAGCTTGTATAACAGTGTAAAGTAGTGAGCGTGCAGCTTGTATAACAGTGTAAAGTAGTGAGCGTGCAGTGTAAAGTAGTGAGCGTGCAGCTTGTATAACGGTGTAAAGTAGTGAGCGTGCAGTGTAAAGTAGTGAGCGTGCAGCTTGTATAACAGTGTAAAGTAGTGAGCGTGCAGCTTGTATAACAGTGTAAAGTAGTGAGCGTGCAGTGTAAAGTAGTGAGCGTGCAGCTTGTATAACAGTGTAAAGTAGTGAGCGTGCAGCTTGTATAACAGTGTAAAGTAGTGAGCGTGCAGCTTGTATAACAGTGTAAAGTAGTGAGCGTGCAGCTTGTATAACAGTGTAAAGTAGTGAGCGTGCAGTGTAAAGTAGTGAGCGTGCAGCTTGTATAACGGTGTAAAGTAGTGAGCGTGCAGTGTAAAGTAGTGAGCGTGCAGCTTGTATAACAGTGTAAAGTAGTGAGCGTGCAGCTTGTATAACAGTGTAAAGTAGTGAGCGTGCAGTGTAAAGTAGTGAGCGTGCAGCTTGTATAACAGTGTAAAGTAGTGAGCGTGCAGTGTAAAGTAGTGAGCGTGCAGCTTGTATAACAGTGTAAAGTAGTGAGCGTGCAGTGTAAAGTAGTGAGCGTGCAGCTTGTATAACAGTGTAAAGTAGTGAGCGTGCAGCTTGTATAACAGTGTAAAGTAGTGAGCGTGCAGCTTGTATAACAGTGTAAAGTAGTGAGCGTGCAGCTTGTATAACAGTGTAAAGTAGTGAGCGTGCAGCTTGTATAACGGTGTAAATCTGCTGTCCCCTCAAAATAACACATCGCACAGCCATTAATGTTTAAACCGCTGGCAACAATAGTGAGTACACCCCTCAGTGAAAATGGCCACATTGGGCCCAAAGTGTCAATATTTTGTGTGGCCACCATTATTTCCCAGCACTGCCTTGACCCTCTTGGGCCTGGAGTTCACCAGAGCTTCACAGGTTGCCTCTGGAGTCCTCTTCCACTCCTCCATGACGGAGCTGGTGGATGTTAGAGACCTTGCACTCCTGCACCTTCTGATTGAGGACGCCCGACAGATGCTCAGTAGGGTTCAGGTCTGGAGACATGCTGGGCCAGTCCATCACCTTTACCCTCAGCTTCTTTAGCGAGGCAGCGGTCGTCTTGGAGGTAAATACTGGACCGTGTGAGCTTTCAGCTGGGAATAAAACTGTTTGATTCTTACGCTGCAGTGAAAACACAATGTGACCCATGAACTAAATGCAGCTTACAAATCAAAGTTCCTGTCCTCAGGTGGTCCCAGTTCCTGAGATGGGAAGTCCTATCTCTGCGGTGTGTTCAGGTGCTTTCAGTCTGAATGTGGAACAACACGGACGCTGCTACAAAGACGTGTTGGATCGTCGTCCAAGTCTGCTGAAACACTTTGAAGCTTTTTAGTACAAAGTCAGTTTTGTCCCAGAGTTGTTACTGCACCGTAAAAACACTGTAAACGCAGTGCGTGGTTTCACCCCGTTAATCCAACGTTTCTAACCATCAGCACGTTGTCCGCCATGTTTCTGCATGTATGAGGTCAGCAGCTCGTGTTCTGAAATGTTCTCAGCCGTTCCCAGTTGTCGGTTTGACTCCAGGGGGCGCTGGCGTGAATCTTCCCAGTAGGGAAATCATTTGATTCTAATTATTCTAACAGCACACAAATGCACCGTGAATAAACACATTTCTGTTCTGTCTTTTAAAACAAGTCACCTGTTCTAGTTGTCATGGTCACTGTGCTGAAACAGCTGCCATTGGCTGTCTCAGCGTGAAGCTCTGAGCCCGATTGGTTAGCCTGACGTGTCACTCAGGAAACTGGGTTGCTGCTGCAAGCATGTTGGTGAGATCAGGGGGGGAAACGTTTCCCTGTTTCTCAGCGTAACGTTTAACACAGGTCACTGTGGATTAAAGAACGCTAGAATCCCATAGATAAACGTGTTGCCGTGGTGATAAAGTGAATTAAAATAGTTTGTTAGCATAGAGCAGTCAGCTCTGTAAGTTGTTCATCTTCAGGTCGGGTAAATTGTTACCAACTTGAGAGCCAATCAGAAAGGTAGAGGGGCGGGCTGTAGAGGTGACCTCGTAGAGTGACATCACAGGACAGACGTGAGCTGTTAAAATCCCTCTGTGTGTATTTGTACTGCTTCATCAAGATGTAGCCTGATGCTAATGTCAGTGTTGCAGCCATTAGAAAGTAGCAGCAGCTAACGTTCCTGTGCGTTCATGTGTTCATGTGTTCATGCTGTCAGCTGCTTTAAAGCTCCGACAAACTCTGCGTGAGAAGTGAAGGAGCTCTGCACTGAGGACAGAGTCTCGTCCGCTCGTTAGGCAGAGAGACAGGAAACGCTGGAAGACGTCTCAGCTGTTACTCAGACGACCTTTCTGCAGGTTCTCCCTGCAATACTAATACTCTCTGTACACAGTACTAATACTCTCTGTACACAGGACTACAGGACCAATACTCTTTGTACACAGGACTACAGGACCAATACTCTTTGTACACAGTACTAATACTCTCTGTACACAGTTTTACTTTCTAAATTAACAGAAACACACAGCAGGCTTTTATTTGAGTTGTTTTAATGACACGTTATAGAGATGACATCACACGTTATACAGATGACATCACGCGTTATACACTGAACAAAATTATAAAGGCAACACTTTTATTTTTGCCCCCATTCATCGTGAGCTGAACTCAAAGATCTAAGACTTTCTAGGCCTGTTTCTCTCAAACGTTGGTCACAGACCTGTCAGAATCTGTCAGTGAGCTCTTCTCCTTCAGAGAGAAGAAATGATCCCAGTTACTGAATCCTGCTGATATCGTTCACACATCCAAACACATTGTCAGAATTTAAACAGCAACCATGAAATCTTTTTAGTCAACAACAATATTAACCAAGTACCAGGTCAGAAAAAGTGTTCAGAAGTTCTGATGTTCCTTCAGCTGTTTCCAGAGTGAACCAGGAAACCAGAACTCTGATTCAGTATGTTGACAGTTTCCTCCTGACTTGAACTTCCCATAAAAACAGACGGCTCTCTGCAGCCTCTGCCTGTCGCTGCTGGGACCCGTTAGACTTTCAGAGAGACGAAAAGTGAGCCAGATGTCATCAACAGCTGGATCTACAACCTTCTGAAGCTGGAGGACACGTCGGGACTCTTTGTTCCTGCTTCATCATCATCCTGTCCTCATGTTACATTAAGCCTTTGTGTTTCTGCAGCTCTTCAGCTTCATCAGGCCGCAGCCCCAAACGCTTCGGCCTCACACTCAACCTGCTCCGTGTAACACAACTTATATACAAGTATACAATACAGATATATGGAGTACTTTCTCAAATACTTCACCTTTGGTTTCAGTTTCAGATCCTATTCTTCCTGACTTATTTCATTACATGTCTTTTAGAAACATGTTTGTTTCAATATTAAAAATAAAATCAAGAAAAAATAGTGTTTTATCAGGTGAAATTAAATCTTTGCAGTAAATTAATTTACCAGTAAAACCAGTAGGCCTGTAGATCCACCACAGTTACTTTAGGAAATCCATCACTAGCTAGAGAGGCTATTTTCACTTAGAGGAGATTCACTTTAAAATGTTCTTTCTTAATATTCTTAAGGCCAGAGTTGAATCTGCTCTGTCTTCCTAAACCTGAGATATTTTCTACTCTTCCTTCTTTTTTAATCGTTTTGCCGACTCATCTTGATTCTTTTCTTTTGACTCATCTTGATTCTTTTCTTTTGACTCATCTTGATCCTTTTCCTTTGGCTTTGCATCAAAGTTAATGGTGAAATGATCTGAGACTCCCTCATTCCAGACAAAGAGACCAGAGATTTCAACGTTTCTGGTGAGGACCAGATCCAGAGTGTGACCGTCCCGGTGTGTTGGCCACTTCACATGCTGAAGAAGTTTATTTTTCTTCAGAAATTTTGAAAATCTTTTAGTATAGGAACTATTTTTATCGTCAACATGGATGTTGAAATCGCCAGTCACAATGATGCTGCTGTATGTTTTAGAAACCTCATCCAAGAGCTTTTGAAACTCTTTCAGAAAGACACTGAATTTATCGTTTGTCGGTGGGCGATACACATTGATCATCAGGAGCGGCTCGGTCCACTCTTTACGTTTCAGTTCTGTGGCAACATATTCAAAGGTTATGGGTGCTTCGATAATAATAATTTGTTTACCATGCAAATTCTGTAGGAACATATTAGCCACCCCTCCCCCTCTCCCATCCCTTTCAAAAGTATGAGCATTTAGGCCTGCAATGTGTAAAATGTCAGAAAGGACTGTGGCTGCGTTGCTTTGTGTTAACCACGTCTCTGTTATGAGAAAGACGTCCAGTGTCAACCCTAATATGATGTCTAAGATCATCTGTAGTTTGTTCATTGATTTCGCGTTCAACGATCGAACATTAAGTAACGCCAACCTTAAAGTTCCAGGAGGTCCTGGGTTCTTCATAAAGTTCTTTCTACGCTTGATCATTGTTTCATCATCGTTAGGATTCCATTTAATCTTCACTGTCTCATCATCTGTATTAAAAACCTCCTGATCGCTTTCTTCATCTGTTTCACTCTCTTCCTCCTCCACTGTTTCATCGCCTTCATTAACCCTTTCATCCTCATCCTCCTGATCGCTCCCTCCCTGCTGCCCACTTCCTGTCAGCTCATTTTCCTGACTTCCTCCCTCTTGCTCGTCTCTGCTCTGCTCAGTTTGACCACTTCTCTGCTCGTCCTCGTGTCTTTGATCTGTTTCAGTCTTCTGTTTCCTGTTTTCCTCATGTTCTCGCTGACCCGTAGCCATCTGCTCAAACATCTTCCTGTGAAGAAAACAGATGATGCTCGATCAGTCAGCAGGATTTAAGAAACCACAACATCAGTGGTGACCTACATACACATCGGAAATGTAAACCTAGCATGGTGTTAGCCAGCTGGGTTCGCAGGACATTGCTGAAACTTGGCGGCTGATAAGTGGATAACTAGTTCATCTGCAGGATCAGGATGTTCCTGCTTCTAGCAAAGGTTAAGCAGCAGAATGTGAAGCCATAGATTATCCACGTTGTAGGATAAATATCAGGGCTACTTTGATCTGATAATGTGTCCACTATAAAAACAAACAGCTTTCAGACCTGTAGCAGGAGAGTATCTGAGTTCAAGAATCCCTTTAACACATGCAGAAGACAGAAAACTTACTTGATGTTGTCAAACTGTTCCCTCAGTGTCTGGCTGATCTTCAGAAGTTCGTCAGCTGTATCTCTCAGTGATTGGCTCGCTTCAGTCACATGATTATTCTTGATCAGGTCTGTCCAGTTGTCAATCACCTCAGAAAGTGCAAACCCCAGTCCTACAGCTCCTCCCACAACCTGATGATGAACAGGAACAGATCAATACATCAGCATCAAGGACAAAATGTACATTTATCAAAACTGTCAGTCATAAAAACAATTAATCGGTAAAGAACAAAACTGTGTGTAGTCGTCACACCTGCCAACATTTAGGTTAAAAACAGGAGTTTTTTGCAGTGGTGGCAGGGCGTGTGCGAGGCGACCACTTCACCTCACTGTAACAGGGACACTAGCTGCTGAACAGAGACTGTTTCTGCTGCTCCCTGAAAACAGATTTCTATCTGTTCACCTGCTGCTCAGAAGGAGCCTGTTCTGATGTTCTGATCGTGGCTCTGGACTCAAGCTAGATAAAAGGTAATTCCCTGGCAGTGGCAAACAGCTTTGGTTTAATATTTGATTACATTAATGTTTAAGAATATTTTATTGCTACTGTGTAAAGGGAATACTGCGGGGAAAAACACCTTATTGCACTTTTGTGTATATAGCAGTACATTTAAATCAAAAGAGTGCAATACACTACTTAAGAATTCATTATTATATTTGCCTAGCACTAGTATTTTAATTTGTTTAGGTGAAACGCCGCCCTGACATTTTGACAACAGCTAACATGAAGTTAGCTAACCCATCTGTCTGTGCAGAGAACAGCTGCAGACGCACCCCTGGATCAGGGAGGGGGTTGGAGTTGAAATTGTATGTAGTCTGACACTAAGCAGACAAACATCACATTTTGGATCTGCAAGTGAGGATTGATAATAATAAAGTTTGAGTGCGTGCAAATAAGTTTCCCAGGAGAAACAACTGAACGGCAGGTCACCAGGTGACGGCTTTGAAATCTGCACTGCCGGCAGGTTTGAGTTACAGATCATTTAGTGTGATTTACTGTGGAATCATCAAACACTACATGTGTGGAGTTACTGAATCTTACCACGGCTCCTTTAACAGCAGTTCTGAATCCAATTGTAGACATTTGTTTGATGAGATGTTTGGCTCCTTTAGCAAACAAAGATTTACATCTTTTCCCGCTAACTTGAAATGAGAAAAATGTTAAAATACTGGCAATTCCAACTATCGCTGCATATCGTTTCAGGGGGCTCTGGATGACCCCCATGGATCCTGGTCCTGCATCAAAATAAAACTGTGGCACATTGATCTCCCCCTTCAGCCCACAGCGTCGGCCCGTGGCTCTCAGAATCTCTGTCATGGTGTTTCGGTCCAGTTCATCTGGGTCTGCAGAGGGACTCCTGCTCTTCACCTCCGCTTTCAGCTGCTGGAACAGTGTCTGGATTTTATCTGAAACTTTGTTGCTCTGCTCTTCTATCTTCTGCGCCTCTTTCATGGTGCTACTGGATAAGAGGTGCTCAGTGAGTTTAGTCAACATAGATATGGGGACACCCACACCTGAGGACGCTGAACCCAACTGACTTATAAGTTGAGAGGCTGCTATGCCGGGGAACAAAATGGCCCCGATCGCACATGCAGCTCCAACCACCGACAGTGAGCTGCCAACACATTCACTGACGTTGCATTTCTCCCTGAGAGACTCCAGCTCCTGGGCCAGTTTCTTCAGCTGCTCTGCACAGAGCTCCCTCTGCTGGATCCAGGAGAACATCAGCTCCAGCAGCAGGTCAGTGGTGGCCATGATGGAGGTCTCTGTGTCCTCTGGATCGTCTAACATCAGGTCCTGCAGCAGGTCAGCAGAGGCCATGATGGAGGTCTCTGTGTCCTCTGGATCCTCTAACATCAGGTCCTGCAGCAGGTCAGCAGAGGCCATGATGGAGGTCTCTGTGTCCTCTGGATCGTCTAACATCAGGTCCTGCAGCAGGTCAGTGGTGGCCATGATGGAGGTCTCTGTGTCCTCTGGATCGTCTAACATCAGGTCCTGCAGCAGGTCAGTGGTGGCCATGATGGAGGTCACTGTGTCCTCTGGATCCTCTGAGCTGAGAGCAGAAAACTGAATCAGGTCTGAAAGAAGAAAGTCAGAGGAGTTATTTGGTGCAGCTTATACATCTCCGTGACAAGTGAGCAAACTTTCTGCTGATGAAGACCGTGAAGCATGATAGAAAATCCTGAAGAGGATCTTTCAATCCAACTTTATTTATAAAGTAAGTATAAAAACAACCAGGTTGACCAAAGTGTAGGAGCCAAAATATCATCATATCAGGGATTTTCCGACCTGAAAATCTGACTCACGTAAACCATGCAGATCTGTAATAAAAACATGTCCTCACTGACGTAAGTAACGTTGTTATTTTGCACCAAAGCGTGATGTTTCTCTGAACCTAACCAAGAGGTTTTGCTGCCTGAACCTGAGCACATTGTGAAGATCTGAGAATGTTAACAACGCTCTGTTTCAGGTTAACTAGCAGCTTCATTTTGAACGTTTCATATTTATTGTTGCTAACGTGACAGCGGAACCTGACATGTCCAAACATGAAGCTCAGGTTACCCAGGGCGTTGAAAGTCTTGAGCAGGCGTCCATATGTGAGGAGCTGGGAGTGAGAATGTATCGACCTCTTTCCTGCCAACAGGCAGGCACTTCACTCTGAAACCAGGGCACCACAATAACGGTGGCCCGGGGTCAGTAAAACGTAACATCGGGACATTTGAACTAGCCCAATCAGGCCAGTGCAGAAACATTAGTATTTAAAAGGAAAAGAAACCTCCTGCAGTTGTTTTGCAGCTCTTGGCGCACCGTTGTCCAATCCAGAGTTGTAGTTACGTGACGAAAGGTTGTCAAATGCTTTTGTAAAATGTTTTTGCCAAACATCTCTGGCTGAGCTCTGTTAGCTGAAGTTATGTTAACGGTAAACAGTACAAACAGGCAATGTTAGATTTGGCTTCGTACTGTAGCAGAGTCACTGTTCAGTCAGATACTAATATAAGTGGCTGGACTGGAGGGACACAAAGGCAGAGAGCCGAGGGGGGAGCGGCTGCAGAGTTCTGCTTGACCGCCGAGGAGAGCCATGCACCTCCGAGTGTAACGTTATTGTTTAAAAACAAGATAATATATTCTTTGTAGGGTTCATCGTTGGGGATGATTGATTCAAAGTACATATTGAAGGACGTTTATAGTCATCAATAAGTTATTTCACTCAGTAGATGTAGCGTTCCTTGAGATTCAGCAAACAATCTGAGGTGATAACTGCGTTTGATCAACGCTACGTAGCACTTGGTGCTCTGACTATAACTGAATACTGACATGTAGACAGGGCTTGTGTTGACTAATTCCTTGTTGTTTCTTAAATTTAGATGTTTGTTCACTTTGTTGCTTTGCTGTAGTTTATCTAAAAACTCACCATGCTGTACTAGTGTGTAGTGTGGCCATGAGAATGTGGTCTCGCTGGGTAAAGGTGTTGCCCACTACTGTTATTCTTTAAATGTAAGGTTTGATTACTAAAGTGTTTAACAAATAGTATTTTATTCTTATATTCTGTGTGTTATTCATGAACCTGTGTTTAACTTGTTAGAAAGATCATCCATATATTAATTAAATAGAACACCTTGTCTGACCCCATTAGTCACTAGAAAGGCTGCAGAAATACTCTTTCCCCATTTAACTTGCACAGTTTGATGCATGTACCAAATAAGTAAAATCCTTATCAAGTATGGAGGGACCTCTTGCTCTTGTAGTTTATCAAACAATATACCATGATTAATTTGGTCAAATGCTTTGGACGCATCAAGAAAACACATAAATATTGTAGTGTTATGCCTTTTGTAGGTATTTACGACCTCCTTCGGTGCATAGATACACAAATGTACTGTGCCCGCTTTTAAAACCAAATTGATTATCGGTGGTTATTATGTATTCTTGAAGCCCATCTCAAAGAATCCGTTTTAATACTTTGGAAAGTATGCTAGCCAGGGCAATTGGTCTATAATTATCTATGCTGGATATTTTACCAGTTTTGTCTTTAACCACTGGCCCCTATAAAACAGACAACATAGAATCAGGTAAACTGCCGCAGCATAGCAGCACAGATGTTCTGCAGTTATTTGATCAAGGCCACAAGCTTTGTTCACTGCCAAATTATCAGTGGCATAGCACAATTCATCAGGTCTAATAACCACACCATCATTGTTAGGAGCATCACCGACATTAAATTCCACACTCGTAACACAATTAAAAAGATCTCTGATGTTTTCTCCATAATTCAGCAATATCTTCACCCCATCAATACTAGAAGGCAAAGGCACCTTCCTGTTAGTAATAACCTTAACTTCTTTCCAGAATTCATAAACATTATTTTGCTGAAGCTTTTTGGCCGTTGAGTTTGCCCTCATGTCAGCTCTTTTCTTTTAATAAAACATACAGCGTATTTAAATCTGGCATTTGCATATTTTTTATGTTCACACTCTGGGCCATGCCTAGCCTTTCCTGATAAGACCCAGTTTTTAAAAGCTTTTCTGGCCGCTGTATGGAGTTCAGATCCATGTTCATTCCAGCCTGGTCTGAGATTATGTTGTTTAGAACTGTTTTTACAGAATAATTTACTGCCATCATTTAAGCAATTCACAATTTTATCGTTCATTATACACAGGTCAATTTTATGATTTTGGTTCTTACAGTTAATATTGTCACACAGAATAGCACCAGTTGGTATGTCCATATTCCGTAGACTCTTATCAGTCTGCAAGTTATTCTGCCATAAGCCATCTTCTGTGTCCAGTCTAATTTCCTATTTTGCTCGTGGTTTTCATAACTGGTCAACTCAGGTGCACTTTCAACATTTAATGTCATGGAGACAGGTATGTGACCTGTTGTGACTATACAAAATCTCAATGTTCTCTAGACAATCATGAGCATCTGCTGTACTTATGCAGTGATCCAGCCAAGATGTTGTATGCCATGCTTCACAAGCATAGACTACATGTTTTCAAAAAAGGAGCTTCACACACAAACCTATCAGAGCTAATGATAATATTAGTAATATTAGCATGCCATAGCCAACTTTAATCACATAAAACGTAATTTCCCAACAACAAAAATGTGGCTAGTGAAAATGCTGCGTGGCTAGTAACTTTGGAAAACAAAAAAGTTAATGTCAAGCCCTGCGTGTAGATGTGTTTGAGGCGGGACAGTTATCAAGCACGTAAAGTTTGGTGCAGATGTGAGCATGCACACTGAAGTTACAACAACTTCCTCTTTCATAGCGAATCATCGATTCTGGACGCTGCTCCATGGCCACGCTCGTCAATGGGTTTAGAGTGCACAGTGAAAATTTGAAGATGATTGGACTAAATCCCTTGGAGGAGTTCGTTACAGTATGGAGTGTGTAAATCATCCAAAAATGACCATTAAATCCAAAATGGCCGACTTCCTGTTCGGTGTCGGGTATCGCTCCAAGAGGCTTTTTGGTGCGTCTGGACATGATACACGTACCACAGAAATTTCACACACGTAGGTGAAACTTTGTCTTGGAGCTGCTCTGTGGGGGGCGCTAGTGAGCCATTTTGCCACACCCATGTGTGAGACCAATAAAACACAAGATTTTTCACCACTCCTGAATTATGGGCAAAGTTTTTGAGCACGTTTAGGCCCCCAAAACTGAGTTTACTTTGCAGAAAAAAATTATTCCTTCAGTTCTAATAAGGACCTCGCATGTTTCATGCTCGGGCCCTGGGATTGTTGCTAGTGCTACGTTTTGTAGTCTTGGATCACAACAATGTAGAATAGAACTACAGATTGTACTTTAATGATGCATGTGACCGTAGGTAGGATAAGTAGAAACAGAAAATAATAGATGGTGTTTATAAACATAGTTTATATGCATTAATAGATTATTTGCACAGGAATTTAAGGTTACTGTGTCAATGTTTTTGATATTATAAATGATAGAATCTCATTGACCTGTCAAACATTAAAACAGCTGCATGTTGTTTAAATCACCCTCTGGATGTTTTTCATACTGCAGTAAAAGGGTTTCCATCCAGAGCTGAGTGCAGCAGCAGGAAGGAGGAGGATCAGGGGGGAACTGATGAAGCTCATGAGTCCGTCGTGCTGCTGGACAGCCTCTCAGTGAGGAGGACGTCCTACCTGCTGTGGAGCCTCAGAGTCTCTTGTTTATCCGACTGAGACCAGGACCGAGCTGTGAAGTGAGGCTGATGCAGTCTGCTGCTGAAGTCAGACTGCAGCAGACTGCTGCTCTGATTTTATTGGCTGCGTCACGATCAGATGTTCAAAGTGAAAGAGAAACTATGGCGATCCTAACAGCCTGGACAACGCCCTTATTTTACACCAGAAGTACAGCACAGATTTCTGATAGACACATCAATTCTTATTCTCTTAAAAAATTAAGTGTCTGTCCAGATATGCATATAAATACACACACACACACACACACACACACACACACACACACACACACACACACACACACACACACACACACACACACACACACACACACACACACACACACACACACACACACACACACACACACACACACATACATACATACATACATACATACATACACATATATATATATATACACACACACACACACACACACACACACACACACATATATATATATATACATATATAATATACACACACACACACACACACATATATATATATACATATATATATATATATATATATGTCCACTTGTCTTCCTGTAGGTTTATTCAATCATCTACAGAAGGACTCACAGTGACACACGAACACCTCTGAGTCCAGGGGTTACATGAATCATAAGAAATGGTCAATACATCAATATTTCCTGGGCTGATATGACTCATCAGTATTTTCTCACTTAAAGAGTTAAAAGTCTTTAAAGGTAATAAATACTTCACTTGAGAACGATGGGATTATTCTTCATGTTATGCACAGCAGCTACAGTGAAGCAGTCATTGGCAGTGAAAGTCTTTTATTCTCAGGCTCCTCCAACAACACATGTATAAAAATTAAACTGCATAGAGACTCAAAGACACAAAGTAGTGCAGCAGCAAACAGCTCATAAACGTAAATATACAGTATATATACTGTTATACTGCTATAGTAAATATATCTATCCTAAGATGTATAAAACTGCTTAAACCTGCGTCCTCTCTAGCGGCCAGCAGGGGGCGACTTAAACCTGCGTCCTCTCTAGCAGCCAGCAGGGGGCGACTTAAACCTGCGTCCTCTCCAGCAGCAGCAGGGGGCGACTTAAACCTGCGTCCTCTCCAGCAGCCAGCAGGGGGCGACTTAAAGCTG